CACTGCAATAGTATTTTTTTCCTTTTACCCTGCAGTTCAGCTTCACCCCCAGTCAAAATGATCAGGTTATAAAAAAAACTAGTCGCCTCAGCCCTCAGCTTCCAGACCATAAAGAAAATGAATGCAGCCAACACATCTGAGGACTGGAAAGCTGCAATATATATTACGTTATTTTCTTGGGTTTAGATATCCATTAATAACTGATTTGATGCAACTAAGTGTATCTAAACCCAAGAGCACATATGTAATATATTGCAGCTTACCAGTCGGTGGCTGCATTCGTTTTCTGTTTTCACCTTTTTTACTTTTATATTTACCTGGTGATCCAGCCAGTGACCCACTCCTTGTCATAGGGTGACAGTGTTCGCTCGTCCTACTGTATTTAAAAGGTGCACCATTGTTACCCTACGTCTACAAAACAATGTTCCTCTCCTTGTTTTCCTCATAACCTAGATAGGGGGTGTTTTGTAGTCCACAAAGAGAACTGGGAACAATGTCATGAATACGAATGCAGCATAGAAGGATATCAGTTTTTAAGCTATAGCATCTATGAAGATGAGAATTTATTGATTTGCACTTGTATAACAAAACTTCAGTGGTATATTGTTAGGGTATACATACACTTTAAATGTCATGTGCTGTGCAGAACTATAGACACCACCTATGGAAATGCAGAGCAGAGAAAGTCAGCAGTCCGTATCTGAATGCTTGACCCAGGGCAATGACTGTAAGTATTGAAGTGACATGGAGGCATGTCATCCAAGCAACTAGTATTTTCGGAACAAGAGAACAGCGTTGGCATCATTTATCTTCATCTCGTATGTCAGTGTAACCAAATCACTTCATAAATGGAAAGCCTCTTTCCTTGTCTCTGGTAAACAAGAGCCTTGTGTGTATTTTACTTGTCTCTGGTAAACAAGAGCCTTGTGTGTATTTTACCTCATAAAAGGCTGCAGAAGTGTTTTCAAAGTCACCTAAAGGTGGCGGTCGCACGTCTTTTGTCTAAGGAGCATGCTAGAAAACCAGCCGAAAATCTTTTGTCTAAGGAGCATGCTAGAAAACCAACTAAGTATCGGAAGCCGATTAATCGATTATTGAAAAAGTTGACAACTTTTTCAATAATCGATTATAATCGATTTATGTCGATTAGTTGTTGCAGCCCTAGAGCTAAGGAGCATGCTAGAAAACCAGCCGAAAATCTTACGATTTTCGGCTGGTTTGAATGATACTCGGGAGACAAATGCTGAACGGACCAGTGCGCACGCGCACACTGCCCGTTCAGCATTGCGGTCATCGCAAGCCCGCCCCTTGGGCTTTTGCGATGCCTGTCCAAGATGGGCAGATCGTACGTTTTTTTGATTACTTTACAACCATCGCAAGACTAAGGTCTTGCGATGGTTGTAAAGTGTATGGCCACCTTTACTTGAAGGACTTGCAATGAGATAACAGGGTTGTGGTCGCCCTGATGTCCATATGCAATTACATGAAAACAGCTGTTTTTAGGGACAGGACATAATGAACGAGCTTGCAATAGGTTTTTGTAATGGTGCTGCATTGATGGTAAATGTCTGAGATTATTCATTGAACGTTTCCTATGATTCATGGAGGAAGTTAATTGTTAACTTGTCTGTTAGAACAGATTCTGTTATCTTTCCTTTGTTTTAATCATGTGGTAAAAGTTGTTACACTTATTATTTTAATAAAAACATCGTTGGGATCTAAATTGGAGCTCCAGAAATGATCATTTCTTTAAACTTACATTGGTCCAACTTGTTTCGATGTAAGTATCCATGTCTGATATCCGGAGGGTCACTGGGGATGCTGTAGTAGTAGTAATCATCGTAGTAGTCCAGTCTACATTCAATGATAGCTGTGATATTCCGGGTGCTGCTGCAGTGTGGTCCCTTGGCACCACCACCACCATCCAGAGAACAGCCTGAGGGGGGAAGTTATCAAAACTGCAGCAGACAGATTCTGGAGCAGTTGCCCATAGAAACCAAATCAGAATCTCTCTTCAGTTTGTTCAGTTAAAATTTGAAAATTAAAGAGAGAAGCTGATTGGTTGCCATGCACAGCTGCTCCATATTTTGTCTGCTCCAGTTTTGATAAATTCCCCAACCTCCTATTTTTTTTTCCAATGAATTGTGACGTTATCCATTGCGCCTCTCCACCTTGTACAATCAGAGACCACCTTGCATTCTCTGAATTGTGTTAATGCTGTGCGAGGGACTCCCTGTGTGCAGAGGGGGAGCCCTGGAGCAGCATCCAGAAGATTACCACTGTATGAAGCGTGGACTAGTAGAGTGATTTTAACATCCTCCGTGACTTTCTGTATGTAAGATATACTGTAGGTACTTACATCGAGCCAAGCTGGGCCAATGCAAGTTTGCAAAAAAGATAATTTGTGGAGTTCCACTTTAACAAAGAGTGGCCCATTCCTAAAGCCTGCTCCACTCTTTTAAACTCAGAAAATGGAGCAGATCCCGCTTCTAATTAACATAGTAGAAAGAAGCCCTTTGGTAATTAGGAGCGATCTGCTCCATTTCCTATGCCATGTCTGCACCAGACACAGCATGGGTGACTGGAGCTGCATGCTTTTGCTGGGGTTAGCACACAGGCATATAGACAGGAAAAGGAGCTTACTCTACTTATATGCAGGCTCTGCCCATGTAACATGATCACTACATGAGCAGAGAGAGGCATGTGAGCTGTTTGCCAGGTAACCAGCAGAGAGTTTATATCCTGTATTCCAGGTTCAATCTAAAGGTGCCCATACACCTTACGACCATCGCAAGACTTTGTCTTGCGATGGTCGTATGCTCACTAAAAGCCCGTACGATCTGCCCACCTTGGACGGGCAGATCGTACTTGCGATCATCGAAAGCCCGCCCCCCTGACAAAAGTCTTGCGATGGTTGTAAGCTAATTAAAAGCTCGTATGATCTGCCCATCTTGGACAAGCAGATCGTACTTGCGATCATCGAAAGCCCGCCCCCCTGACAAAAGTCTTGCGATGGTTGTAAGCTAATTAAAAGCTCGTATGATCTGCCCATCTTGGACAAGCAGATCGTACTTGCGATCATCGAAAGCCCGCCCCCCTGACAAAAGTCTTGCGATGGTTGTAAGCTGTATGGGAACCTTTAAGGTGCCCATACACTGCTCGATTCTCGTACGAGAATCGAGCAGTGTATGGGCACCTTAAAGGTTCCCATACAGCTTACAACCATCGCAAGACTTTTGTCAGGGGGGCGGGCTTTCGATGATCGCAAGTACGATCTGCTTGTCCAAGATGGGCAGATCATACGAGCTTTTAATTAGCTTACAACCATCGCAAGACAAATGTCTTGCGATGGTTATAAGGTGTATGAGCACCTTAAGGTACTAGTGTTGTCAGACACATATCAAGATATCAGCAATGGCAGGTTGGGCCGCTGGTCTTTTCTCTTGTTATAGTATTTCCCTTTGCTACTACCCAGACAGCTATATAAATGGTTATGTAGAAAAGGGAGGGGAGGGCCGGAGGAGTTGGGCCAGCACAGACAGTAGTTAGACATTCTGAGAAGAAGAGAAAGCTATGATGTGCGAGGGGGGGGAGGGTGCTTATGGGCCTGCATCTACTGGAGTAGTCAAGTTTACTAGCATGTTCAAATGGATATTGCAAGTAAATAAAAAAACAAATGCAAGTCAGCTTTTTAAAAATTCTTCTTCTTTTTTTTTTTTCCTGTGCTTTTACTTGCCATTTTGTTTTTCTGAGTTGGTGACTAGGTCTTTTTACATTTTGTATTTCCTTTTTTGCCATTTTTAATTATAGCTTTGTAACATCTTGTATTAAATATAATTTGTTTTGCATCCATTTCACAATCCTCTCTGTATAATTTTTCAGCGGACAGAATGCTTTGTTAGATGGGTGGTGTCATTTGGCACGGTCCAGCAGCTGAAAAGTATAACAAGCATGGCAACTCCTTTTGTACCTGTGCCTTTGCCAATAGGAAATTCTTCTGCAGGCAGCATTCCAACTCGAAGCCAAAGGAGCTCTTCGCTTGGAAGCTGCTCAACTGGTTCAAACTCATCAAAGGAGCCACATGAAGATGCCAATGCCAGAGGGCGCAAGAAGCTGAGTGCACCCGATCAAGTCAGCTGCACTTCATCCTTATGCAGTAGCCCTCTCATCAGGACTAAGTTTGACTCTTCAGTAGAGTACAGTTCCCGACCAGTGGAACATGAACATGTACCAAACTCGGTGGATCTGGAGGAACGGCCTTCAACCCCAACCATTTTAGGATATGAAGTAATGGAAGAACGAGCAAAGTTTACGGTGAGTTTCCTCAGTTTGTATGTATGTACATGTATGTGTTTAAATCAAAACGCCAAGCCCTCCTCTATACAAAGATATGGGTCCCCTCTCCGTCTGGTCCGTACCTCCAACCCGCTGCTGCCTCGCACAATATCTGCAGCCATCTGATAAAAATCTAGTGCTGTGCTGCCCATCTGAAAACCACGCCATTTTCGTGGCCTTTAATTAGTCTTAAAGTTTTATATTAAACTCTCAGATTTTTTTTTTTCATGAATAAATTCAGATCAAACAAATATTAATTGCCCAGCAAAGTATTAAATATTTGCCCAAGCACTTAGTCATTGTGTTTCCAAACTGCTGACTCCAACTCTGTCACCTCTGTTTTCCTGAACTTCCTGTCCAGTACAAGATCACACAGGACAGCACAGTCAGCTGCTTATCTATTAGCCTGGAAAGGGGGTGAGGGGAATGGCTTGACATGCGGTGTCTGTTTGTGGAGACAAGCGCCGCTTGCTGGCACACACAAGGGTGTCTCCATAGGACCCAGCAAGAGAAAGTCGCTCTAAAGCAAAATATCAGGACCAATGCTCGGGACCAGCTGATACTGCTGGAAACTAAAACTGCTAAACATAAAGGAGCAGCGTCCATTGTAAGTGGTTTCATCAGCTTTTAAAATCCATTAAAAAATATCCTGCTAACTGGAAAAAGTAGGAAGACAGCATTACTCCCCCAATAAAAAGATCCTCTCTTGTGCTAAAGACATTCAGGGGAATCTATCCAAACTGGAGCAGGCTGAATTTGAAGCAGTTGCCCATATCAACCAATCGTCTTCTATCTTTCAAATTTGAAGAGAGATACTGATTGGTTACTATAGGCAACTGCTCCAAATTCTGTCTGCTCCAGTTTTGATAACTTCCCCCTATAATGTATCCCTCACCAGTATATGTATGTGTTCTCCTTTTTTTTTTTTAAAACCTTTTTGATAGAAAAAAAAAAGGTCTAGTTATTGCAATCTGCAGGTTTTCTTGCTATCACTCACTGCACTCTCTCACTATTTCTTGCATGTTGGGGGACTGTCTATGGACATGATGTAATCAGACACAGCAGACATAACTTACTACTGCTGGATGAGCAAGTGGCTTTTACTGCTCGCCGTACATGCATAGTTTTCTCTCATTTAGCCCGTGGGCTGAACAAGAGAAACAACTCCATTCTCCCATCCACACTAAATGACCTAGATGGAGAAATCTTCCCTGCTGGCTATTGATGGAATGCACTGGTCCTCGTATCCTGTTTTTAGGGTGGCTCCTTTTCCTTGCAGGCTCCTGTGGAGAAAGCATAATATTGTGGCTGCGGTAATGTATACAGCACTGTCTGGCTGCAATGCTAACATTGCAGCGGGCAGCTGGGGAGCTGTAAAACCACAGATCACCCGCCTTATTTTACCGCCCCTCGACGACCTGTCTAAATGAGGCCTAAGGGAGAGCTGGATTGAACCCCGCCCTATATTTTATCTCCTTACATTCTCATTTGTTCACAAAATCTGTAGAAGAAATGTATGTAGATGGAGCTTTTAAGGCACAAGGTGACAGATCCAAGAGATTACAACATCCTTAATAACAAAAATCTTTATTACATTCAAAGGGTTAAAAACCATAACATTGATCTGTGCATGCTTTCATCATCGTAGTACAAATTACCTCCAAAAAACTACTCCAAATTAACATGATTGAGGCACAATGAATCACAGAATACATCATTAACATAATTAATAGGGAATGTTCTTTGAATCATACGTATAAAATGGCCTCTTCTGAAGGTGGTAAAGGAGTAGTTGGTATTCTCAACGCGTTTCGCACTCCAATCGCTTCCTCAGGAGATGGAGGAAATCGAACAAGAAAGCAACTCATGTGCATCCAGCCGGACCAACAAAGATGGGACCCAGAACCCAAGGAGCGTCAGCAGAGACCCGAACCCCCAAAGGGGGATGATGGAAGCATACACACATCAATTTTATGGTTTTTAACCCTTTGTATGTAATAAAGAGTTTTCTTATTAAGGATGTTGTAATCTCTTGGATCTGTCACCTTGTGCCTTAAAAGCCCCATCTACATACATTTTTTTCTATTGACTTATCAGGGGTGTGACACCAATTACTCAGCACTCGTTCACGACAATTTGTTTTAAACACTAAAATCTGTAGTCACGGAGCTTTTCCTGCACGCTAGATTGCGTTTAATCCACGCACTGTTCATCTTGAGCTTTTCTAAAAATATATTATGACTATCACTAGCTTTCAAAGAATGTCAGTCATTGGAGAGTCAATCTAATGGCATCTCATCTGTTGCAGCTTTTATTGTCTCTGTGTTTAGAGAGAAATCTTCATAACAAGTGCGAAGGGTTATCGGATTTCTATCTTCCCCTCAGTAATGTTCCCATATTGATTAGAAGTCGTGTAATCATTAGCTCGATGCATACGGATGTCTGGCTATTAGGGAGTCTAGCCTTGGAATTAATGTTTAGACTTTTCTATATACTTGCTCTTTTTTTTACTTTTGTTTAAATTAGAGATATTTTTTATTCAGATGTTTATATGTATTGATTTTTTTTTATTGCATTTTCTGTCTCTTCTAAGGACTTCCTAATGACTCTTCTCTGTTTTCCTTGTATTTTTGGCTCATTAAATATTAGGTTGCGCAAACTATATAATATGGTAGATATACTCTACTGTGTTCATTGATATTCTTTCTAAGGCTGGCTTTAAAAAGTCATTTCGTTTACTGGCAGGCCAGCAAATAAGCCATGCCCTGCACTGACAACTGATAAAATAGTAGAATGTCATCACTGGCAATCTTCTGAAAATGCTGTTTGCCTGTCATTTGCGGTGCACCGATACATGTCCTTTTGGTACTGATATTTTTTTTCGGTATTTGCCGATACCCGTGCCAAGTGCCCCGATTTATCGGGAAGCCTGCCGTCCGGGTTCCTGATTGCCTAAGCTTCCTGACCAACAAAGAAGCTGGGCGGCGGGTCATGGGGTGCTGTCCGGTTTCCTGGTTGGTCAGGAAGCCAGGCTGCCTAGGAAGAAGTGAAGCCGGCTTCCTAGCCAATCAGGAAGTCATAATCCGCCGCCCGGCTTCCTGATTGGAAAGGAAGCCAGCTCCATGCTCCCTCAGGACTGCCGGTCAGAGGAAGATTTCCCTCTGGCTGGAAGTTTCGGTATCGGAGTTAAGTATCGGAGCACTTGGGCTAGTGCAAGTACTCGCCTAAATGCTCTCTATAGGCAGCGATACTATTATCGGTGCATCCCTACCTGTCATGGTGATCCTCCGGATTCAGTTCTTTATCTTTGGCCTGGAACAATTGTACAGCAAGCATAGTCAGAACTCTTGATCTGCATATTTGTTCCTGGCAGGGATGGACAAATCTCAGGAGCCAGGTAGCCATCGCTCCTTAAAACTTATGGTTTGAGGTTTCCTGTAGTTTTCCATGGAGCTGTCTCCTAAAAAAAAACAAAAAAAAAAACCCTCCTGGATTGGATAGACTGGCTCCTGAATGCCATGTGAATTTGTCCACCCCTGGTTTCTGCTGAGGAAAGTATTCAGAATGGCTCATCACCACTGGGCAACTAGCATATTCAGAAGGTGTCAACAATGGCAACCTCCAAAAAAAAAAAAATTCCAAATAGCTCTGATCTGCCAAAAAAAAAAAAAGAGACTGCATACTTCTTTCCCGCTGTCTCTCTTCAAGACCAGTGCTCTGCTGAAGCTCACTTTTGAAATCCAACACTTCCAGGAGTGTTGAGCTTCTTCATTCCCACAGTTCTCAGTGGTTCTTACAGCCAATCTCCCAATCACTACTTGGTGTCCTCTAGTATCAGGGAGGTCGGTGGACACTGTGCACTGGGGAACTAAAGAGATCAGCACTCCAGAAAGTGTTGGCTTTCCCAACAGACTTCAGTGGCGAATTCTCTTGAGGGGAGTTGCTTTCTGGTGGTGCAGACAGTAGAAAAGCTAAGGGGGGTCACTTTAGAGAAAGTGAAATTAAGTTAACATGCTAATTGCTATCCAGAGATGTCTGTAATCTAGAGATCTGCTTGAATTGCAGGATGGGTATTTCTTAACACACCCACTGCACAATCCTTGCTGCCTGTTGCATTCAAAAAGCCTAATATATCTGAATGTCAGAACTGAGAGGTTTCTCAAAGCCATTAAACAGATTCAAACCTGCCTTGGAACACATAGCAATACTTGATTGTTGTAAACAGGATTCGATGACTATTTTATATTATTGTTTTAAAATAATGTTCCCCTTGTTATTTTAGTTGGGGTCCAGGGGTGAGCACACATTTGTTCATTTAGAAATGTGTGTTTTAATCCTTCCATTACACTTTCTACTGTGATAGAATAGGGGTCCCTTCCTACATTGAGCAGCTTTCTTGATTGTGGATATGGATACATATGGGCCTGTTCTGAGCTGCCCATTCTGATCACATAATGTTTCTGCTTAGATGTTACTGTAATGACTTTGGATGAATTCAGAAGGCTGTAGTAAGATGGGGTGACATTAGTATTCTGGCTCATGCACACAGACGCAACGGGTCTTACAACATAAAAATTGAACTCCCAGAAAACCCGGTGGCTGTGTACAGCCACACATAAACATGAATGGCTGTATGCCAGTTCTTGCATTGATCGGACTATAGCATACGGTCGTGTTCCTCAAACACAGACTTTCTGCTTTCCAGAACTACACCCGTACCGTACACTAGACACAGGTTTCTGCAAGTACCGTCGTATACCCATGTACAGCTATTTACATCTATGGGTGGCCGATGCAGCACCTGAGCTTACCAAGCACGAAACAATCCTGCATTTTTTACGTTGTATGCCCTAATGTGCCTGTGCGCATGATCCCAAAGGCAAAATGTATCCATTTCACATGACTAGATGCTTATAACTCCTGCAAAGAAGCTTTTCATGGAGTTGCATTTCATCGGATGCTCTGCCTCCAGCTTCATGTAAATAGTTTGCAATATCGTCTCGTAAATAGATTTAGTATTGTTACTTCTTCTTCTGTTTTCTGATTTTTAAATCCCTTCAGAACAGATTATTTGCTTTTTAGCTCATTATTGTAAATGTAGATTTCATAGAAAGCAGAAGACTGCACAAGGAACAGTCTGGCCTTTTGTTCAGTTGTGAGTCACCTGTCTAGTGAAATCATTCGTTTACCTGACAATATATTTATAGATTTTTCTGGGTAGATTCTGGAGCTGGAAACATTTTTTTTTTTGCTTAGGTTGGGGAAGTTAACTGGTGCTTCGCACCCATCTAATATTCTAAAATAACCTGTTTGAGTGACAGAGCACTTGTCTGTGTGGTCAAATTAGTGCTTTGATCAGGTATAGCAGGGGTTTACATAAATTATATATTAACAAAAGAGTATTATTTGACTTCCTTTGACACAAGTTGAAAGCACTTTGTGTTTAAATGTTGATGCGTCAAGATCAATGCAGCTTGACCAACGTCATGACGCATGGACAAGCATCAGTACACAGCGATTGTATGTCTTTACGCATGCGTTGACATGTGTTTCCATTGATTTCAATAACACAAAAAAAACACATCAAAGAAAAGCTTTGGCTTCAGTGCTTTATGAGTTGCTGAGCTACTGTATAATCGGTGTAGAGATAGGGAATTCATTATTGTTCTGGGTCTGTGACTGAAGAGTTCTTGTTCACACCAAGCGCGTTCCAGGAGCAGAGCAGTTACAGACCGCATCAAAACTGCATCCAATGTATTCCAATGGTATTTTGGGCTCTAGTTCACACCGCAGCGTTCAGTTCCAGAACGCATAAAAATGCATGCAAACGCCCTGGAACGCACTGAAAGCCCATTCTAAACTTTAAAAAAAAAATGTTTTAACCAAAAACAGCATCAAAAATGGAACGCATCAAAAAACGCGGCACAACCCACTGCATTGCGTGTGCAGAAACTCACGCAGAGTTTCTGGTCTGCATTTGGTGTGAACAATGCCTTAAAGTGACATTAGGGCTTGTTCACACCAAATGCAGACCAAATCTGCATGAGTTTCTGCACACGCAGTGCAGTGGGTTGTGCCGCGTTTTTGATGCGTTGCGGGCCGTTTTTGGTTAAACTTTTTTTGTTTTTGTTTAGAATGGGCTTTTAGTGCGTTCCAGGGTGTTTGCATGCGTTTTTGAATCTGAACTGCACTTGCCCCAAGATCCTTTGCGGCCGCCCGAGACTTCAGATGTTTGGATGGGAGCGCACGGCGAAGACTCAGGTAAGTTTTGAAAAGGTGTGGGTTTTTTTATTTTATTTGAATATATTTACTGCTTGCTAGCAGTAGATCTATGCAAAAAACGATGAGGGTTTAATAACCCTTTAAGTCAGACACAACCAGGCAACTAGCCTTTTCTTCAGCATGCCAGAAATGGCAGCCCACATACTTTCCTCATGACAGTGCCCCTTTAATGTATAGTCAGTCAGAAAGATTTTTAGGCAGGCTTGAAGTGGTGCCTAATAAAAACATCTCGGTACTGACACTGATAAATCTGGCTTTCTATGTGTGGCAGACAGAACGGATACTGCAGCGAGTGTGTCTGAGAATACCTATTTTAAATTAGAAACAGGTAAGCAAAAGCTGTTCCCAGATTAGCGGTTACAGACGAGCATTGGTGGAGTTGACTGGTATGTAAATAAATGTTTATTATAAGCTGGGCTGAAGAAAGGGAACACTCTCTCAAAATCAGTCTTTAACCTTGTGCTGTCACTACATTTTGGTAATGCTGTTTAAGATCTGTCTGACATAATTATTGCTTATTGGCAGGTTTACAAACTTTTGATTAGAAGAAGCCCAGATGAGAGTTGGGTTGTATTCAGAAGATATACAGATTTCTCAAGACTTAATGACAAGGTAAGGAGAAAAGACTTTAATAGCCATTTTTTTTTTGTTAATTCTTAAGCTGGCTATACCAGCTCCTAATGTCAGCTGGTTCTTCATGAACCAGCCGAAATTGGATTTGTGGGTGCTGCTGCTGTTACCTTTCCGACCAGCATCCCACGATCAGCTGATTGAAGGAGCAGTGCGGAAAATTGTCAACCAAACAGCTGGCAGCCAATGAGCTGCCAGCTCTGTTCGGGTATCCGGCAGCCACTGTCAGAATACAAAGGGAACAGCAGATTCCTTGATTAATGCTTGTAAGTGTTGATGGAGGAATGTGCTTTATTTTCTTCGTTCAGCTGTTAGGTTCAACAAAACATAGGAGTGTGAATACCCAACTTTAGGAACACATACAGAAATAGCAAGGCAGAAGCAGCTGTGCAAATGTAAAATATTGTATTGTTATTTACCTGGTATGTAATAGATAAAGTTCAGAGTGGTAGAGAAGACCGCCAAAGGAGGTAAGCCATACACGTCCCAATATTTGTAAGCAGTAACAATTTACTTTGGACATTTAGTAGGTGCATTGAAGTGGGATGGGGTTGGGCGGAGGTTCAGAAGACATATTTACATTTCTCAAATGTATCTTCTTTATGGAATAAGTTCACTTTTAACACAAACGTTCTTCATTTATCATGCAGGCAAAACTTTCAATATAACTTTTTACCTGTTCTTACTGTTCCCTGGGAGCTCTGTTTAAAAAAAAAAAATCATGTCCAAGTCTCTGCTGAAAGAGACACTCCAGAGTAGTTATAGCAAAGACATTCCTGGAATCCCTCTATATACACACATATTCTTAGTGCATGGACAAGCAATAGGCAAAGGCATCTAAAGGGTTTGATGGATGCCTTCCTACACACAAAGCACAAGTTCTCCTGTGCCCTTTGGATTTTGCTCTGCTTCGCTGTAATGCTGCTAGTCATTGTTTTTACTTGAGAATAATAAATGATTATTTTAGAGGTCAGTCTAAAGATGATGGTTTAGCCAAGAGTGAGGAATCGTATAACCTACCGTGCAAAGCATTATTGCACAAGTAAACCTGGATAATGTTCCTCAGACTCATTGATGACCTATGTAGCCTGGATTTTAAGACCGACCCTCTGCATCTTGTTGTTATATCTGTCTTGATAAGTGCAAACATAAAAAAAGATGCTTTGATCATATCAGAAATTCAGAGCTGTCCTGTACACGCGTCTGTGTTAATTAGCTCTGCAAGTTCCTATCTGGGACTACATAATGATTAGTGTCTGTGTTGTAAAGATGGGGAGAGGGTGAGGGTTTTAGTAGTTGGCTGACACACTTCTGTCTACAAAAATGCATGCTTTGTCAGCCCTGCATTTCTGGCAGATCAACGAGTATTTTCCTGTACTTGCAGGACTTTCTTGTACTTGTATAGGGTTATTAAACCCTTGCATGTTTGTGCATATATCTACTGCTGGCAAGCAGTAGATGTATGCAAAGCGAAAAAAAAAAAAACTTTTTCAAAGGATTAATACTACCTCCGCGCGCTCCCGTTCGAACATCTGAAAATTTCTCGGAGCGGGCGCAATGCGCAGTTCAGATGTTCGGCCAGGAGACGAGGAGGGACACAAGGTAAGTCTGTGGAGCAGCGTGCACCTGCGCAGACTCAGTGGTACATGAGAGAAGAGGAGGACAGAGAAGTCAGCAAGGGATCGGAGATCCGCACCAGCGCTGGAGGGACAGCTAAAATCTACAGGAAAGATCGGATTAAGAGGCATCATTTAAGGTAAGTCCTTACTTTACTTTAAGTCCTTCATGGTGGGGGACTTTTGCCCTTAATGTCACTTTAAAACGTGAGGAAATGTACTATAGAAATGTACTGCATTTTTTTGCCCTGACATATACTTTAATGTGTTCTTATGCTAGACAGTGCATATTGCTAAAGTGAAAAAAGATGCACCCACCCAAAAAATGGACTCTAAAAAGTCTAAACAAACCCTCATCTCTGCCTTTACAAATTATTCTACTACCGTATGTATGAGGTGTGACCATTTAATTCCTGAATTGCCCGTGGCGTAGCACTATGGCGGTGAGTCACACAGCCATTCGCACTCAAGTGTGTTCTGTCATGTTCTAACTTGCACTCGCTTGGGTCACAGACCAGTTGACTCAGTCCTCACAGAGCAGTAGAAGAAATAACACACGTGTGCGTTGCGCAGTTGACAGAAAATGAATGACCGGAATCTGGAGCAGCCAGTTTAACATCAAATTGTGCATGAAAATTGGCACAAATGCGAGTGAAACTTTTAGCTCTGTTACAACAGGCTTATGGTGAATATTCCATGAAGAAACCAAGTGTTTTTGAATGGTGTAGGCGTTTTAAGTAGGGGAGGGAAGATATCCACGAAGACCGGAACTCTGGCCTGACAAGTGGATGCTCCACCATGAGAATTCTCCTGCACATGATGCGTTAAAGGAGAACTATGAGGTGAGTGATTTTCACTCAGCCTCATAGTTCGAGCCGACGTGTGACAATGAAACTGTCACACGTCGGCTCAATAGATCGGGAAGTGAGCGAACACATACCGTCGCTCGCTCACTTCTCGATCCTGTCCCTGCAGAGAGCAGTGACTGTCACTCATGGCTCCCTGCAGGGATTCCCCCTTCCCCTGTCTGATCCTCCAGCGCTGACTGGCGGAACGGACGGGTGAAGGGGCGGGTACAGCTGGCTCTATACCGTCCCGGCTGCGGCGGTCTCAGTATAGCTTGCGGTATACTGAGCTTTGGGTCAAGGGAGGACTTACCCCATAATTCTCCATTAAGTGTTTTATGAGTTGCTGGCCCAGAAATCCATTCCAAAACTTGACCTAGCGGCTTATTCCCCTGGCTTGGCACCCTGCAACTTTTTGCTGCTTCCAAAATAAAAAAATGGACACAGATTTGAAGATACTGCCAGGAATGTTTCCAGCAGTGGCATACTCATCTAGAAAAGTGCGTCGCTTCACAAGGGGACTACTTTGAAGGTGACAACAGCTGATAGTATGTAGGTAAGCAAACATAATATAATTTTTTTTTTTGTTGCAGTCCATTCCAGGAATTAAATTGTCACACCTTGTACAATGTATTTAAATAAAAAGTCTCCCAAAAAGAGTAGACTAGAGTGCTAATAATGGTAAATAAGAATAGAAAATGTATTGGAAACCCCACTTGGGGATCTTGGGGGTTTTCCAATGGATGAGTTCTATTTGCTATGTGGTATTCTATAGTCAATAGACATTACTTATGGGTGATCATTTAAACTCTTGCTGCACAGTGGGAGGAGAGGTACGTATATTCTCTGTTCAGTGTTGTGAACCATTGTAAGAATCATGGGGAACCGTTGACTGGCTGATTGACTTTACATGTATGTACAGGCAGTCCCCGAGTTACATACATCCGACTTACATACGACTCCTACTTACAAACGGAGGCCATTACTGTACAGCAGGGGTAGTTGTAATGCTACCGCGCTCGTGTCGACGTGGAGTGCCCGCCTTTTTGGGTCTGGTTCATAGTACTGTATGTACATTACAGGAATTTGGCTCTTGTTAGACGTGCAGACAAGGGGTGCCCGCCTCTTCTTCCGGGTCACTGTGAGGTTTTTACTGCTGTCTGTATCCTCATTAGAAAGATTTAATCTCACTGCCTGTCCTTGAGACAACAGGAAGTGAGAGGAAATCTACCCGTAGGAAGGGAAATTCACTTCTGTATGAGTGATCATGGGAAAAAGGTGTCTCCACTGAAGCTTCATCACCAATCCCTTTTTCCACGACAACCCAACATTTTCAAAATCCAATTGTCGCAGGCACAGAAAGTGAGGTGCAATCTTCTGAACAGGGGCACACACAGCAGAACAAACTTTACAGGGGCTGTGCTATCCAAAACAAACAAACAAAACATTTTGGCTGGAGTTACACTTAAAAAATGTATCTGTTCCAACTTGCATTAAAATTCAACTTAAGAACAAACCTACAGTCCCTATCTTGTTCGTAACCCGGGGACTGCCTGTAGTTATATTTGCTGTAATCTTTCAAAGTCTTACTCAAAAGACTGTTAATATAAAAAGGCGAGTGAAAGTATAGTTGGTTTGACTATATTAAATTGCTGTAATATAAGTTTTGCTTTAGCTGCTTGCGCTGTAATGCCAGGCAGAAAACAAATATCCGTGATGAGTGTTTATTAATATTTTAGATGCCTGCTTGTTTTCCCTGTTGTGAATCTTGGCACATTGTTTAGAATCTTTATGATTTCAGGTTATAAAAATTAAATGTGTGTTTTAAATTCCTTCCAGCTTAAGGAAATGTTTCCTGGTTTCCGGCTTGCTCTTCCACCTAAGCGATGGTTTAAGGACAATTATGATTTGGATTTTCTAGAGGATCGTCAGCTGGGTCTACAGGCGTTTCTACAAAACTTGGTGGCTCACAAGGATATTGCAAACTGGTATGACCGCCTTTTTTCCTTTTGCTTTCTGTTGCTTTTACCGACTCGTGATCAGTGACTCTTGCTAAGCTTCTTGTTTTGAGTGATATTTTCTCCCACCTGTAGCAATGATAATTACAGATCACTGAAACTGATAATCGGCTATTTAAATTATTGCTTTGTGTTAAGTTGGAAAATAGTTGTGGCTGGTTAAGGGTTGCAGATTGAAAACCAGTTCCTCTTCTTTTTGTTTTAGTTCCTCTAAGAAAAAAAGTAATGAAATCCTGTATATTGCTCACAGTACATCTTCATGGAATATATTAACAGTGTGTTCATTGCATACAGTATAAAACTACAAATGTTATCTAATCGGATTACTTAACAGTTTAATTAGGCAAGGCTGTAAGACCAGGTGTCTTAAAGTGAACCTGAGTCAAGAGAAATGTGGTGGCAGCCATTGCTGACCTGTTTCTGAAAGTTCCCTGGCTGCCTTATAACTGTACTAGATCATCAACTTGCATTTTCACAAATGACCGCCTCCTGTAAAAAAAATGTTCTCCATTAAAGCAGATCTCTCTCTCTCCCTCTCCCTCTCCCTCTCCCCTAAAACTGTTTCCATACTCATTGGCCCAGA